GACTCAATATATTCATGGACAAAAAAATATTTTTTCTTATAAAAGACGTATTGCTTTATAAAAGTTTGTCAAAGTTCATGAATATACACATTAAAATACTTTCATGGTTACAAGGTCAATCAAAATGATCAAGTCCATGTTGAGAGAGTTAATAAATTACTGCAGACCAGTTTTAGTTATGATCTAAAATAAGTTAACTGCATAGATCAGAACTGAAAAGTAACTAAGAAGTTAGAGAAGATAATTCTACTAAAAGATTGACTAGAAATGTGTAATGTTATTAACTTTCTCAGCTCAGGCTCGATCCCGTGAACCGACCTCGTAACCATTTTGTACTTGTTATAGTTTTCATGCTATAACATGAAGTGTATCTTCACAAAATTTTGCATATTACCAGTAAACATTACAAAGCTTTCATACGTAAAATATCAGATTTTTTTATTAAGTTTTAAGATTTCTTAAGTAATGTTTTTCTCATGCCTTTTTTCTTTTTGAATGTGGACTGCAAAGTGATTTTGATTTTAAGATTAAAAGTACTTTTATGCATCAGAAAATTTCCTAATTTCCCATGTTAAATCTTTATAAAAAACTATATTTTATCTGTTGTTTTCACTACTGTATCTCTTGATCAACCTTGTAACCATCATAAAAAATTAGAAAATAAATATAAATTATGCTTTTTTTTGTTCTAGAATGACTACAGATTATAACACAAAAACACCAATGTTTAATCTAAATAGCTTAAATCTCATAACATTATAAATCTATATATATATTTATTATTTTTATTATATTGACCTTTCAGCCATGCCTGGCTAACATTACAGAAGTTGCAATGAGGTGGCGCATTTGCACTCATGTTACCGTATCCAAGAATATAAAATTGACCTTTACAAAGTGACCTGTCTTGGCTGTGTTTTAGTGGGCTAGCATTTTGTAAAATACAGTCACACTTCAGTTATAATACATTATGTATGTATAATACATTATTACTATTTAAAAATAAGTTCTTAAACTTATTTTTCTTAAAACGTAGAACAGTAATAAAGAAGTACAGCGAACAATTATCTCTTTTAGTTACAACCTTTGTACTTGTTTGCTAAGCCTTATCAAATTTCACACGTGGAGGATGCGAAACAAAAAATTGTTTTTAGGTTTTATATATTTGTTTCAAAATAAAAAATCATAAATTACTACATCAATACCACAGAATTCCACTATAATTTATCAAGTTTAGTAACTAAGCTTTATTTGGGTCTAAAAAATGTGATTTTTTGAGCTCTCTAATGTCTTACCTTACCATTTGGAATCTAGCATGAAAAGAAAAGGTTTGTTGTGCCAATACTTCACAGAGGTTGAGAAAACCACTAGGGGAACATTCTGAGCTTTCAGTTGGTTATACATATGTCATTGGGCAAAGTAGGTGTACATAAGCAGGTATTTCCAAAAATTGAAGAGATGGGCAGGGTCACCTTGGATGATTCAATAAATATATGAATATCACAGAAAATAGAAAAGATAGGAAGTACCTATTTCACATTCTAGCTTGACAATATTGGTAATTAGAGTATCTAATTCATAAGAAACTATAGACTTTTTATTTGGACATCACAAACATCTAATTTGAACTAAAGCTGCATTCCACATACCACTTGACACACAAAAATCGATATTTAGGATTTTTATTTTAATATTTACTTTGAAATTAAGAAATCAATTAAAATTTGAATTATAATCTACAATTTGAAACCAAACTTACATAAAATAAATTCATAAAATAGTAGTTCAATGAAATTTTGAATGCAATTCAACAAATGCGATGACATGGCCTTTGACCCTGTGTCGGGAGGGTTAATCAATACATACACAAGAAAAACTAAAACCTGTAATGTAATGGTTAGTGTGTTGATTCATCACTTGGGTACACTTTTTGTTTAATTAGATTTTTCAGCCATAATACAAATATCATTTGATTACATTTTGGTGAGCTTAGTATATTTAGCTAACAATACAAAATACCATTTATAAGTATGAAAGCAAATAATAATATAGTACGGGAAAGTATTATAAAAATTATAATATAACATAAATTATTATAATAGTAAGGAAACTGGTTTTAAATGAAAATCAAAATGTCACTATTTACAAAACATAAGAACGTATTGTTTGCACATGACTCCTGAATTCAAGTTTTACGTGTTCATAGTATAGTTCACAGTAGTGCACAGATGACAACAAGCATTGTTACAAATTAGTAAAAAAGGGCTAAATGTTATAAACAGAAAGACACACATTCCCTTTGGAGAATTATACCAATGTTCTGTAACTGGTCTCCTAGAAAAACACAATACCAGGATCAATAAATATGTAAAATCCCAATTAAAAACCTGTTCCTTGATCCCTGCTGTATAAATTTTATTTGTTTTACATCAAAGATTAATATATTCTGTCACAGTACTGTTTAGCTATAGCATTGGTAGCAGGAAGACATAGAAAGTAAATAAAAACCAATGTTTATGCATATATGAAGTTAATATAAGATTGGTTTAATACTTGTAAACAAATATCCTATAATTAATTTAATCAAAATAGTGCAAAAGAAAAAGACTATATAAATTAATGTATGTAGCATTTATAAACAAGCTATTGCCATACCTTTTACATACATAGTCAAGTCAAGGAGTTAGCAGTAAAATGTGATAGTCAAACTTTTAGTGCTTTTGACTTGTAGCCAGAATGTTGAGAGTTTGAGGTTTGCTCTCAGGACGTTGTTATGTCCTTGAGCAAATGCAACTCCAATTGTTTCAGTCTACCTATCTGTTTGATGGGTAACTGGGGTTTAACCTATGATGAATTGGAAATCCTGTCAAGGAGTAGTTTATCAATATTCTCAATCACTTGTACTATTGAAGCCAGAGTGCAGCACTGTTTCTTATGTGCAGTCTCATCATGAGATAGATTTCACTTAAAAGGTATTAGGTATATTTAGATACATGAATTGTCATACTTAAAGGATAACTTAAGTAAAGAAATATCATGTATGGTAAATATAACAACTAAGTAATTAACAGATGCTATTTTAATGGAATTGATTGATAATAGAAGTATTAGTAAAAACTCTGGGTCCTACAGTGGTTTTAGTGGATATTACACTATACTGAAATAATAAAAGGAATAATTATTTCCATTCAAGAGTATGAAAATCTATTTTGGTAATGCTGATAAATAATAACTAGTGAAATTATAAGATAATGTAAAAATTAAATGACTAAATTTTAAACACAATAACACTTAAATATTTCTTGTCAAGTATGTGCTTTGTTCAAACTCATACTGTAATTCTCCTAAAAACAGTTTAAAACATATCTTGTATTTTTTAATTTCACTGGAAGACTTCCAAGTAATGGATGAAATGTTGTGAACTAACTTAACCATTTGTAAAGTTTTCTCACTAGAAACTGTTGTAATGTTTATTTTGTTTTAAGTTCATTTCAAGAAGATTTATATGAATAACGAGAATTGATTGTGTAACCCAACTCTTCCAGTGTAAGCTTATACTTTTGAGATGCATTAGTGTACAGTGTGTTTTATGTTTCTCATTACCCACCTTTAGTAATAACTGAAGGAATACTAAACTCTTTCAGACTCCTTGACCTAGCAAAAGAAATACTGAAATGTAGGCCCAGTGTTGAAACCAAAGAAATTAAAAGACTATCACAGAGTAGTGTACTGATTAAACCAGTAATTCTCATGGATTACAAAATGCATGTAGACCCTTGGCCAGACATAGCCTTCAATAATTGTAAACATAACATATACATACCCAGCATGGTTAAAAAATCATACTACATAATCATCAAAAGTGTTCCAGTGTTTTAACTGCCAAAGATACTGTCATTATGTTGGATCATGCTGTCACAAACATGCTGCAGTAAAAGCCATAACCCTTGACTAAAAAAACAAATGCGCCAACTGTGGAGGAATTCATATTACCTCATATATAAGATACCTCAAATACATCAACATAAATGAGATAGTTCAAAATAAATCAAAAACACTTCTTCCAAATCCACAAACATTAAAAACTACTATCCCTTGCACACTAAGAAATTTCTCCAGTCTCTCTAATATAAACACACAAACTCCAGTAAATACAAAAACTACCTCTAGCATATCCGATGCACAAGCATGTAAAATTAACTTGCATAACCACAAAAAAAGCCTCGTTCTTTGCCTAGTTGACATAATTTTTGCCCTCAAGAAAATAAAATGTTTCACAAACAAACAGTTGAGGCAAACACTAGTAAAAATATTCAACAAACACTTCAAATTAACGTTCAGTGCTGATAGACTACACAAATCCGTAATTGATCAAGATTCTGATAAGGAGGAATATGGAACAACTTAATGTGTGCACTAAATACCCTCCACTGTAACAGTCGGGGAATTCCATACCAAAAATTAGAATTACAAACCTTAGCCTCATTAAATTATGCATATCTCATTATATTAAGTGAAACAAAATTAAATACAAAATCAAAACCATTTGTATATGGCCAGCTGAACATATCAATACCTAAAACAATGATAATCCAGGTGTATCATTTTTGTTTATAAAACAAACATGAATATAACACAATTACACCAATTTATAAATTCAAACAACATTGAAATTATAGGAAGAGATATAACTACAAATTCAAATATTAAAATAACTATTACAGCCATATATTGTAGTCCGACACACACAACTGATACTCAACTACTCTTAGATCTTTTAAGCTACAATAACAGACTTAGAATAACAATAATGATAGGAAACGTAAGCTTAAGCCTTTAGAAAACATTATACAAATGGGGAAACATCTCCTTAATATAGTCTGTCATGATATAAAAGACTGTTTCATTCAGATAATATTGATTAATTTAGTTTTGTGGGTGAATGTTTTATTATTGTTTAGTTCTTGTTATAATAAGAGTTAAAAGCAGATGATTGTAGGAAGTTTTGTTAATAATACATAGATGTTGAGATGTTCACGTGTTATATATTGATGTTGAGAATATAGAAGGTGGACAGACGATTAGGTGATATAGATATAAACAGCATGAGATGAGTGGGAAGCAGTAGACAGACATAAATAAACAGATAATAGTGAAAGAGAATAAAGTTGGTGTGAAGTTAAGTACCATAGTTGTGATAGGCTTAACGTTTAATATGTTAGAGTGAAACTAACACTGGAAAAGAAGATAAGAAAATAATTTTATTCTGTCAAAGCGTGGTTCTAAAATAATTGAATCAACCTGAGTGCACTTTGACAAAAGAAACGTAGGATCTTCAAAAGAAAGAAGACCAAACAATTATGGTAACTCGTGCCACAATAGTAAGCAAATCACAGAAAATACTAGTGTAATAGAAATAGAGAAGATAGTTTGGCTTGTCAACTGAAGTTCTAAAGTAATTGAATTGGCCAAAGTGGATATTTAACAAGAAGTAGAGAACTACATATATAGTATTTATGATACATCCATAATATCTATAGTCTTGAAGACTTTGTTGTACATACGTTAACTTATTCTGAATATATATACATTATTTTGTAAACAAGTAAAGTGCATACTGTTTATTCATCGTTGAATTTATTGTTAATAATTCATAGACACCTACTGTAGAAGAATCTTAAGCCCAACAACAACACAGTATATATTTATACTATTAAGAAATATAACTAAAAGACTTTAAATTCTGACAACTGGCAAATAATTATATTTTAAATTCTGACATGGTCCTAAATAACAAACTAAATCCTCTTGAACAACAAATGCCAACACATCTACACAAGCCCATTGGAATCACCTATATCCTAGATATAGCATCAGAGAATAAAGAAAACTAAGAAAGAAATGCATACAAACAAGGTCTAACCAAATTAAAACAAAATATAATAAAGCCAAACTACCCAACAAACAAAATTCCACACACAGAGACAGTAACTCAGCTACATTCTGGACAAAAATCAACTCGACAAACAGATCTAATCAAACACAAAATAATTACCCCATCCTTTATTATAATAATAAACGAGCTACAACAGATCGAAAAACGAAAGTCTTCCTCCAAAACACATGTTCACTCCCTAACCACCATGCCTTTTATACCTTCAAAAAAATCCGTAGACTTATAATTCTAGAAATTTGGTACCTGTGGTGGGCAGAGCATAGATAGCTCATTGTGTAGCTTTATGCTTAACTACAAACAAACAAATAATGGGCAACTACATCTCAAGAAATAAACCTAGGTTCACAAACAAATTTCCAGTTAACATTAGCATAACAAAAACACTAGAAAACATGATCCCTGACCATAATTATATAACAACACATTCCACAAAAATACTTAAAAAATATTTCTCCATGAAAAGATAACATTCTAAACATATGCTTGTAAAAAAGGATCAATAAAAATGCATACCCATCTAGCCAGTATTTTTATCCTAATTTTAAGATCTGAACACATACCACCAAAATACAAGATGGCTTTAGTGTTCATGATATCCAAACCCAACAAGTTGCCACAATACCCAAAAAACTGTAGACCAATAAGCTTAACCAATACAATAGGGAAACTTGAAAGAATTGTCACTAAAAGATCACTACACTTCATTGAGAATAGTCAGTTACTATCCAAAATACAAAACAGTTTTAGGAAGAACAGACACCTGACCACTTAATCAGACTAACGAAAACAATAGTCAAGGATATATAAATGTAAATTGTTGCACTGCAGCTGCTTTTCTCAATGTTCACAAAGCCTTTGTTTCAGTCTGATACAACAGGATCAGATACAAATTGGTTAATTTTGTTATACCTACTCCTGCTTTTCATGTACTTTTAAAACTGTACCACATTCACTTTAAATAAACCTTTAGGGCAGATGAAGAGGGATCTCAATCCATGAAACTCTTCCCCCCCAAAATCCCAGATTCATTCAAGTTCAAAACAAGTCTGTAAAGTATGGCTCTGGTTGAATTTAAGATTTTGTTTACTCACACAGTCCCAGTTATTTGGTTACTCTAGTTCTACCTTAAATTTATTTAGCTGAAATTTATTCCAGAATAATAAAGAAAGAACTATATAAAAATAAAATATGCAAATGATTTGCCTTTCTTACAGATGCTGTAAAGTCTGTATTGAATGTAGTGTATTATTTTGAATCTGAACTTAATTAACATATGCAATAAAAAGATTGCTTAATAGACTAAAGCAAGTGCTTTTATTTCAAAATAAGTATGTAGCATAAAAAAAAAGGTTAGTAGTAATGGGAATGTAATGACTGGAACATTCTTAATAAAAAAAGATGAATTGAAAGAGAAAGCATTACAGATAGATGAAGGAGAGTAGATCTCTAAATCATTTCTACTATTGTAAATATTGAAGCAAAATTAGTTCAATAATGAACATTAGTAACCAGAATTAAACTCAACATTTAACAGACTATTATTATAGATTGGTCTGCTCAGAGATACACAGCAGAGTTATCACAAAGTAAGTGTGCTAAAACTTTTGGTAGACTGATCATATAACAGATTATATAAAGAAAAAAAACAGTTATTCATCTATGTTCCTCATCAATTATTCACGACCTACTGATTAGTCCCAACAGATGCACTTTACATGATTTTGATTTATCAAATGTTGAAATTTGGTTGCCACTAATTACTTATGTGTAACTATGACTCATGAAGCCATAAACAAGTATAAAACTAAAATAATATATTTTTAAAGTAATCAAGAAAAAAAATCTTTAAGAATTAGATTATTCTTGCTTAAAGAAATCTGGACACCTAGCAAGATGTAATTTTTAGTCTCGCAATTAGTTATCACTCCTGAAATAGCCAAATGTTGAGATCCCTGTCCACTAACGATCTTCACTAAATCAAACAAAATTTTAGCCATGAGCTGATGTTGCTGAAAGTCATTCTTACAGTTTTATAATCCAACTTGTGTTGTTTACAATGTTAATTCTTGGACTTAATCACCCACACAATGTGTAGTGAATAAATATGCACAATAAACTTTTTTTTTCTTTTTAGGTTTTTCAATGATCTGACATGCTAATTAATTATTTTAAGTTCATAGGCTTAAAAATAACAAATTTATAACACTATAATGACCATGTATTAGCAGCTAGTGTGTATCCACTTGATAAATGAAACTAATTAATGCACAAAATGATGGCTTTTGAAATATGTAGAAAATTTTAGAATCTGTACAATTTCAAATAATTGAAATTTGAATTAGTTTTGTTTTTGAAAAAGAATTTGAATAACATGGTTTCTTTGCTGCAATATAACAAGATAATTGTAAGTATTTTTTATGTTTTAGCGTGTTCGACAAGACTTGGAAAAACTCTTCCAACAACAGGCTACACATGAAGCACATTCACATCGATACCAACTTTTGAAAGATCTTGGTTCAGGATCTTTAACACGTAGCTTTCGAGCACTCCATCAACTTCATCACCATCAGCATCTGACTCCTCAAAGAAATATTGGGCTTTCAGCTGTTATTCAGTATCACAAAGCTGCTGGTATTTTTCCAGGAACTACCTCACACAGTCACATTTTACCACTGTATGAAAGCAGTATCTGTAAAATGTTGATGGTGGAAAAGTTTGACCAAGTTAGTTAAAAAAATTTGTGTTATACAAAAAGAAACTTGTTTAACCAAATATTGCATTGCTTAGGTAAATAGTGTAATAGTTGTTCTTTGAGAGTTTTGCTTACCTAGTTATACACTTTCTATGTAAAAGAGTAGATACTTGTATTTAATTTTTGAACATTTTAAATAGTTATAAGAGTAAGGAGACTGTTTTGACTAACCACAAGGTCAGTAATTTAAACTTTTAAAACACAACGGATCGATGATTATGATTCTTCACTGTTCTCTGTTCCTCACTTTCTTCATCAGCTATCCTAATTCAAACTTCTCACCTACAATCAGTTTTCTAGTGCCACCAAACCAAGTGAGTATCAGCTTTCATTTCACTCTTCTTCTTTGATTGTATCCATCAGAATATCTGACATCCTTACTTCAAATGTAATTACTTGCGTAAAGTAGCTCATTTTCCACTCCCTGTGTACGTGTATGTTTCGATACTTTCTCATCAGCTTTCCTTTCTGTATTTGAGCACACAAATTACTGTTTACAAAATAAAAGTATTAGCTCTTTCCATATGGATAAGGTTTTATGGATATGGATTAAGTTTTGTTCTATCAAGTGAAGTATTATATTATGTTGTTTTCTGTACAGAGATTAGTCTATTTCGCTTCCAGTTCAAATTTTATTCCCATGGGAAAGACATTGATGAGCTTAGCTGAATTTTGAATGGCTCTTATCGCACACTTAGAAAGCCAGAAAAATTATGATATTTACAGGACATTGTCTGTTTTTTACATGTTATTATTCTGTGTTCTTAGGTGTATTATTTAATGAAATAAAAAAATTATTTAGGGCAATAACACCATTAATAAAAAATGTAAGGTTAAGTTTCATTGATAGTCAATAACAAAAGAAAACATATTCAGTTAAGTACTGTATTTCTTATTTTTAGTGTGTATTTTGTGTTAATTATTATAAAAGTAACTAAAATATGAAAATTAGAAACTTATCAGGTGAGATTAGGTAAAAAATAATAATAATAATTTTTATGAGGTATGCACTCAGCCCACGCACTACGTAATTTGATGTTGTAATGTGAGCTACACATTCACCAAGTGCTTTACGACGTGTGGTGGGATTATTTGTTAGACATGGTTCAAAGGGCAATAAAACAGTAAAATTTAAGTAGAAACAGATGTATACTGTTACAAACTTTAAGCCAACTAGGATAAACAATTGTAGTTTCATGTTACAATTTTGAAGTCATTCTAGAAAGAAAAATGGGTAATTCAGATTTATTTTGTATTTTTTATGGTGGTTACGAGGTGGTTGGTCTAATTGACCAACCTCGTATAGAGTTAGGGTAGAGAAAATAATAGATAAAAATACAAAGATTTATGGGAGAAAAGTTTGAAATTTATTAAGGAGGTTTTAGAGATTGTGCAAATGAAATATGACAATTTACAGATAAAGAAAAGTATTTTCAGTCATAGTATGAAAATTGCTTTGCACTTGGAGCAGTCAACACTTTGACTCCATGGATTCATAGAGAGATTTTTAGTGAAAAAACTTCATTAAGAATTATGATTTTTGTCTGCAAGAGACTTGTGAAGATACACAAAACATATAAGTTATTGTATGGAAACTCTAAAGGAAAATTTGGGGTCACGAAGTCGGATTGATATGACCAAGGCTTTAGTGAAAGAGCTAAAGGGTTAAAATCTACATGGATGACTTGCACTTGAATTGGTTCTGAAGACTGTGATGACACTCGTGTTGACAAGTCCATATAAGAGCTATGTAGTGAGAATATGAGACAACTGTTGGGTTTGATAGATAAACTCACCCTAACAGAGGCAGTTGGTGTGGTGATGAGCTCAAAATTGTGACTTCAAACAGGTACCACAAAAGGGGAAAAGCTCACAAAGCAGCTGCAGGATCAAAGCATTTGCTTTGGTTGTGGGCAGTATGATAGGCAAAGTAACTAGCTTCAACCAACTGCATGGCTGGTGTAGAAGGGTCAGCAGTGAGCTTTAGTTTTGTCTCTATTACTTGAATAATAGCTCTTTCACACTGTGTCTATATGTCTATAAACTTGTACTGTGCTATTTATGCATTCCTAGTTCAAATTCCATTAGGTCAACTGGAGTTCAGAAAAATATATGTGCTCACCATTTGATAGTAACCACACCCACCTTTTTATTTGGATGTGTTATATCAAGCAACATGTACTTATTTGCTTGGCATGTTTATAACCAATAGAAAGAACTCATTTTAAACTACAATCTTCCAATTGTTATTTTAAAACTGGCATGCAATATTTGTTACCAAGTGCATCAAACAACTGAAGCATTGTTTGTTCATTTTGACCTTGCTAGCACTTAATTTTGCCTCTCGCCTAGATACATATTATTAAGATAGAAAGTTAAAGTGTATTAGGTATCTCTTTCATATTTTAGTTAATTATGTAATATTTATGTTTTAGAATTCATACTTGAAAGGTTTGCGAGGATTAACTTACATGAGTGCAAAAAACATTTGTGTAACCGGATGGCTAACTTTACTTCATCATAAATTCACATGCATTTTATTATATTATATTATATTAAAGCTTTTTGCTCTGTTTCTGTTTAGTAGAGTAGCAACATTTTCTTTTTCTACACTTAAAATATTCTAAATATTTAGGAAAGTTATTTACATAGATGAAAATTTAACTAAAAGAGATCATAAAGTTAAAGATTATTAGTGATCTTGCTTATTAATGCCACCACCTAGTGTTTACTGGTGTTACTAGTCAGCTTAGCAGGTTTGATCAGTTATGTACATCTTCATTGTAGTGGCAGGAAAAGTTTGAAACTTGATATATGAATCCTCCACATTCAAGTATTATATTTAATTATAATTTTTTGTGCATGGAATGTAGTCTTCATTAAGTTAATGAAGCATAGCTGATTAGGAAATTCAGTTGTAATCAGAAACTTTCTTCTTGTATCTAATTTATTTTTGTATGAATATATCTGATATGATTAATTTCATGAATTATCTAACAAAAGTTTGAATGTTTAAGAAACGTACACAGTATCATGTCACGTTGTTTTGTAGCATTCAGAAATATAAATCTAAACAATTCCATAAAAATCTTTAAGCAGAGTTAAATTTTGGGGTTGTAGAATTACAGTATAGATTGGGTACTTGAAAAAATACACAATTTTATATTTATTCTAGACCTAAAATTTTGAGTTAAGTACGTGAGGTTTGTGTAGGGAGTATTACTATATGTGTATATGGTGTACTTATAACATTATGAGAGAGTAATTACAATATTCATTTTTTCAACCTCAGTAAACCATTAGTTAATAGTTAGGCTTATTGTTCCTGACTTTATAGATTATGCTCTGAATTAATATTTATGTTATTGAACAAAAATAAATACAACAATTTTCAATAAAAGTACTTCATTAGTACTGATAAATTTTAGGTGAATTTAATAGTGAACGTATGTTATATATTGTAATGCTAAGTTTCTGTTAAACATAAGA